ACACTGCAGTTGACTGACTGGGTACAAACCAACAACGTACGTACACTGCAGTTGACTGACTGGGTACAAACCAACAATGTATGTACATTTCAGATGACTGACTAGGTACGAACCAACAATGTATGTACATTTCAGATGACTAACTAGGTACAAACCAACAATGTATGTACATTTCAGATGACTAACTAGGTACAAACCAACAATGTATGTACATTTCAGATGACTAACTAGGTACAAACCAACAATGTATGTACACTGCAGCTGAATAACTTCAACTCTGGGCAAAACAGAAAATGAGCATTATTTCTATTAGAGAATGTTTCTGAACATTTACCGAGCAGTAATCTTTCTGTTCAGTTTTAGCACCAGTAACAAACAGGAGTAAGGTATATGACAGAATCCTACATCATTTTGCTGATTACACATAGTTGTAGTTTTTGAAGAAAACTACTTGTCATTTCAAAAAACACACTTGCCTCTTTCCTGAATCACATAATACACATTAAAAAGTAGAATATATCCTCAAAAATTTTGCTTTAACTCATCAGTGAACATAGAGTTCCAGAAAGCAAGATGTTGTTCATCACTAAGCTCCTCAATGATGTAGTCCATCAATTAAAATGACACTTTTTATATACCATAAAAGAAAAAAAAGATTCTGGGATTCACATATTTAGAAAATGATATAAAAAGTACTGATGGCTAATTACTTAAGTTTAAATCTGTAATGTTTATCACAATTTCTACATTGTATGTAAAATTTGCAATAATTACAACAAATTTAAATCTGTATTGTTTATCACATTTTTAACATTGTATGTAAATACATTATTTTATCAAATATCAAAAAATATTGTATGATATTTACTATATAATCTAGAAATGATATTCACAATATATATCTTAGGTTATTATCATGATATGTATTTTTTAATACGAACCATCTGGCAATATCCAGCCCTACTATATTCTGTCTGTTAACAGCTGTTGAATGTTTTACAGAACAAAATAGATAAAATAGCGGTATATGAATATTAATAATCACATTTGTATTACGTCATTCATGGATTTTACGGTTTTGGGCATCTAGTGATTAGTATTTTAGACTGAAGCATGTAATATACCTCTCCAGCATACAGAAATGATAAAACAATCACAGCTTAAATCAATGTTCCCAAGAGTTAAAATTATAAAATTGTTTTTAAAAAAGCATGTGTATATATATATATATATATATTCAAGAGTTTAAGTTGTTTTGCAATTTTTATTGTTATATTCTTCTTAGAGTTACAATTAAAACTTTACTGGGCTCCTGTAAACAAAAGGAATGTAATAATACTGGCATAATACTTTAGATATCTTCATTATAATGTGTTTGACTAAGGGTTGTGAAAGTGATAGTTTGGCTAGTGTTGCTCTCAAAACATCTGCTGGGAATTTTTTTACTATCAACAGAATAAAATTTGCGAGATTGAAAATATATTTATCTACTTGTCAAAAAGGCATATTATACCAGTAATGCTTGTTGTCCCAGGATTCAGGTAATATAAATTCCACAGTTCTAATACTTCTTTAAAACAAGGTTATCGACTTGTTTAACATAAATCAATGAAACTGATGGAACAGACAAATTTACAACAGTACAGAGAGCTAGGTATGTTACATTAAAATAATTTTTAATATTTAAATCAGCAAGTCACACAAAAACCACAGCTGACATACTGTTGCAGTGGAACATAATGTACCAAAACTACATTTTGACAATGTTTGGCCTTTTGTAGGTAGTGTGACCCCAACAAATTTTTGGGAAGGGTTTGTCACAGCACCTAGGGATTTTGGCACAATTGAACTGTTGAAACAGACACTGGGAACCATCATCCTCATATGCTAAATGGATTATGAAATGCATGCAAATAGGAGTGTAGAGCTGGGTGATTAGACTCATTTCCTAATCATTGTTATAAGATTTAGATAGTTGGAATAATCGAAAATGACAATAATTGGAACCACAAATTTTGATAAGTTGAATATTTTCATGAGTTATTACACTAATCGATTAGGTTGAAAAACCCTTGAATTAATCAAAAATTATAAAGAAAAATCATAATGGCGATACTTTGATAAGTGAAATAATTGAAAACAGTAATAAATTAAAAACCCTAATTTTGATTAATCTGTTATGTTTGTGACATAAATCGAGTTAATTGTAATTTCAACTAATCAATTAATCCCCTAGGATTGGTGAATCTGCTCGATTGTTAGATACTTGAGAACAATAAATCATGCCTAACAATAGTATTCAGATAAATAACAGTTTATTCAGTATGGTGCAAGTTATCACCAAAAGTTAAAAATATTACAAATAATTAATATACATACAGACAGTGGTAAAGTACAAAAACAAAACATATAGCATACATAACAATGTTTTAGTATACCAAAAAAAATCATTTCACTTCCTGTTTTTACACTAGGATTATGCAAGTACATAAAAAAGCTTTTATGTTTTGTTTTTTTCAGGTTTATTAAATAATAATCAAGCTGCCTAATCTAAACTTAATTTTTGCTGCAACAATTTGTGGACTGATCACATTATTCTAGATATAAAAAAAGAAAAACTTTTGTACAATAAAAATACCGAATGATCAGTTCTGTTGATTTGTTTTAAATGTTCTTGTAGATCACTTTTAATTTCTAAAGGGAATTCATTTCAGTTGACATTTTCTGACAACTCCAATAAAAAATATAAAAATTAATATAAACATTTACATGTATATGTAATATAATTTATTCAAAGAACAGAGTCAGAAGACCCAAAGAAATATTAACTAAATCCTTTGAAGTTCTTATCTTAAATCTGAAAGCAATCCATTTCATTTCTACACCCTATTCAAATACAGATACATGGATAGAACAGAAGCTGTAATGGTTTCAAAATACTACAGGTCAAACTACCCAAGTATATTATAGGAAATACTAACAATCTAAGTCATATTTTATCTATTATAGATAGATAGATATAACAACCTAAGTAGTATAAATATGTGTATTATGGCCAGAAATGCATAGTTTAACAATTTCTGCTGTAAATATCAGCTACATATTTTACTGTTAATGCAAAACAACTCATATCTATTATAACAACCTATAATGTGCAACATTCACATTAGCTTAAGTTTCTGTGCTGGTGCTGACGACCACGACCATAGCCTGGATGTGAGGAATACACACTACCTGCTGGTGAAACTCCTGAACTTACCCTCTGATAAGAGCCCCGGCCACGTCCATCCTGCCGTCTCATGTGGCTTCGCTCCCTATCCATTTCTACATCTTCCAAACGCTGAGTTAGGGCTAGCTTTTGCTGAATAGCCATCCGTAGAAGGGAATTGAGGGTCTTTTTCTCCTCCTCTGCAGCACCTAACTGTCTTTGAAGTTCCTCAACTTGAGTGACATACTCTTCACAGCGAGCAGCAAACATGGCTCGGAGAGATGCAAAGGTTGCAGCATCTTCCTTTAAGGCTTTGAGCTCATTTCTTAACTTAATCATAGTTTCACTCACTATTGATTTTTCTTTCTCATACTTGCTTTTTAAGTTAGCTAAGGCAACTTCTGCAGTCTGCTTGTTGGCCTTAAGTACAGTTCGAAGAGTTGCAATTTGTTCTCTCTTTGTTGAGAGCAAAGACTTTAGTTTAATGACCTGTTCCTGAAGTTCTTCCATCTCAACAGCCGTGGCATCTTCAGTGTTTGCTGAATGATGAACCTTCTGACGGCCCATCTCAATGGTTGTTTGGACTGATTGTTTGAGATGGCGAACTTGATCATGGATGGTTTCTAGCAATCGACCACAAACAGTTGGGTCAGCCTTGCCGATGTCTACTTTTCCATGCCCATCTTGAAAAAGCTTTGAGGACACATCAGTCTTTAGCTTTTCTCTTAGAAGATCCAATTTGCTGTACTTTTCAACATTATACTGTCCAGGTGAATCCTGGATTTCTGAAATTTCATCAATAAACTTATTAAATATTTTATATCCTATTAATTCATTTGCTTCCAAATCTATCTTCTTAAATATGTTATTCTAATTTTAAAAGTTTTTTTACCAGCTATATATTTGTTATGTTACTTTTAACAACACTCACTAGATATAACTGACTCTAAAAACTGAATGAAATCATTCATCCAATTTTTAGTCAGTTTTTTAGACTCAGTGTTGTAACCAGATAAAATAAATACAATTACTCTACATGAAGTGATATGTTAATTCTAACAGTAGTCAACAGTATAAAATAAACAAGTGGCAATTTGAGGCTTAAGACAATGTATGCGATATTCCTTAAATTACATTTTTCTCACTTTCCTATCATGTTTATTTATTTTTTATCTTGTTTATTTTCTTAAGAAATACTGGAGGCTTGACAACATTTGTTATCAAGACTTATAAAAAAACAAACAATTAAACTATTAAACATAAACAGTAGAATAATTAACTGGTTAAGACAATTCTTTTAAAACCAAGAAACTATATATTTTATAGCAATTTTGCAAGTGCATTAGGTATTTGATTTTCAAATCTGCATTTCTAAACTTTAGCAGTTTAAATATGTTTGTTTTTACTTAATTTTATTTTTTTACTGTTCTTTGAACTGTGTCTAACTATTAAACCCAGGAATCATCCAACAAACACATAGATCAAATTACAGTACTTAAATATGTTAACAAGAGCTTATCGCATACATACTTCAGAAAATGTTTTAGTTAATCTTTTTTTATATACATTTTCTTATTTAACCTAATACACTTCTAATGTTTATACATTTTGTAACTATTATAATTTAACTGGTTTTCTAACTAAGTTATACGTTCATTCAAATAATTCCCTTAACCCGATGACCACCGGCTACTAACTTTGAGTAGCCAATGCAATTCTGCTATATTTCATTCTAACAATAAAACTAGTGGATTAAACTGTTTGAAACTTCATAAGAACTTTCATAAATGCGTGTAGTTTAAGAAACATAAAGCCTGTTACTTTTGATAAATTTAGATTTTTTGCATTATGATCTTTAATATCTTGGAAGATTACATTAGGAAATGGTACTTATAAGAAATGATTACAATATTTATATTTGTTCCAGATCTGAACTTATTACTTTTTATGTTTTAGTACATTACTTTGAAATCCCCAAAAATTTATCCATTTTTAATTTTTTTTAATAATCACATACTCTCCTTATGGTTTCAAGTAAGATACAAAACCCAAAAATAATATTTGTAAATAAACCTAAACAATAAATGAATATTTTTATTTTTAACTAGGATTTCATGTTTATATATGTACATGAAAAACATTTTAATTTTGTTTTATAAATGTATTTCTACTTCAAAGTTTATGTTTTATCACAGCCATACTTTTGTTTACTGTGCCAAATAAATCGTGAGGTTAGCAGCGTGAACTTTATACATTTGCTGTAAATTATCATGCCTGTTGGTGGTCACTCCCTTTCAGTCCAGCGCTGATGCATTTCAACATTACTGTAGATATGATAGTAAGAAAGCTTTTCTGTACTTGAATATCATTTCTTTGAACTTTTAAACAAGTTTATTTCAACATATGTCCTTGTATGTCATTTCACTATACAGACAAAACTAATTGCCACTACTAGCGATTGCATGTAAGAGTTTACAGTATAGGTGGTTTGAATAACACTGCCTGACCCTAGTTACTTGATACATCCTGTTAGAAGAGATTACCAAATGATACAGACACAATAAATTACAAAGAAAATTACTTTACAGCTCTTAAAAGATTAGTCCTGGTCACATGCCTCCCATTATAGGCAAGATTTATGTTGGAAATCGAAACTTAAGCTCTTCAGTGTATTGAGACCCCAACTGTGAAAATGTCATAGCTTCCCTGTATTATTGAG